TAGATAAGTGTGCTGGTTATTGGTCTTGGGTGCTGCGCTATGTCAGTCTTCTTAATTTTTTGAACCTTCTTGTGACTCTAGCCTGAAATATCAAAACAGTTTATTCTGAAAATATCAAAGTAAATTTGGACATTTGAATTTTTGAATGAAACAATTAGTCAAAAGTGACATACATTTGCAAAATATTTTAGTTGACTCAAAACTGCATATTTGTGTCCACAGAATGTTTCAGCTGAAACAATTTGCCCACCTGTGTTGTAAATATCATGCTCACTAGTAATATTGCATACATTTTTAAATAACTTAGGAAAAAAGAAACTTAGATATTGACTATTATTCCAGTAGTTTAGAAAATTCCCTATGTCCGGCAGAGCTAATACCACATGCCAAACAGTTAATCAAAAATGCCCTGGAGCAGCAAAACTGCTTTTTTATGTACTGTTCTACTCAGAGTTCTGGTGTCACCCAACTGTATGAGATTGGACCCTCTAGTTGAGTCTTTGACAGAGTCTCCAAATGCTGTAGGGAACAGACTGGTTTTGCTCCATCTTTTCAGAGGTGAAAATTTTGATTTATGTCTCTTCAGAAAAAAGCTTTTGCAGGAATTGCCCCAAAATAGCTGAAGACCTTTGTCATAAAATATACAAATTTGTGAGAAAATTGTATCAAACCTAAAAGAAAAAGCTTAAAGTTGTATCTGACATAAGCCTGGGCAATCAGCTTACCTAGAGAAAGTAAAACATTTGTTTCAGTATAAATGCACAAAATAAAAGTATCCAGACAGAATCTTCCTCATGCTGTCAAAGTTGCTGCCTTTTAGCAGCTTTGCAGGCAGACAGTAATTTATCTCTGTGTCAAGACTTACACATGCTCATGCACTCTGTAATCTTCTCCAGCCCCCACTCTTCTCTTTCTCTCTTCCTATTTATACCTCTGAGAGTCTTTGAAGTAAAAGGTCTCATCTTTCATTATATCAGGCATGAATGCATCATCTATATTTAGCATCCTGAAAAAGCTATTTGCACAAGTGTGTCTAAGAACAATGGGATTTTGTTATCTGTTCAAGTTTCATCTAATATTATATGACACTATGTTTACCATAGTAAATTTGGAATCCTCTGTTTCTTGTCAATTTCCAGGTGAATTTCATAAAGTTCTTTGGATTTATAGAGGTGTTAAATAATCATAGATATCCTGATTAGATAAGGTGTTTTTGTATACCATAGGACTTATTGTCCATAGCATTGTGCTTTGTGTAATCCTTTGCACATGTGCACAGTGGTTGTAAAATGCTACTAGATCAGCATACACATGGGTTAATGTGATTACACCACGTTCAGTGGTGAATCAGACCCTAATGGTTCACATCCTTTCAATTGGGGGTTTCTTAAGTGCTGAATGTGCGGGACTGGGAGATGGGTTGGAAATGGGGGGGAATACGGCCTATAATGGCAAGGAGAAAGGAGGGTCCGGGCACAACAGGGAGGCAAGATCAAATCAGTATCTTAGATGCCTATATACAAATGCGAGAAGTATGGGTAATAAGCAGGAAGAACTGGAATTGCTAACCAATAAATACAACTATGATATCATTGGTATTACAGAAACCTGGTGGGATGGGACGCATGATTGGAATATTGGTATGGAAGGGTACGGCTTGCTCAGGAAGGACAGACAGGGAAAAAAGGGAGGAGGGGTTGCCTTGTATATTAAAAATGTACACACTTGGACTGAAGTGGAGATGAACGTAGGAGATAGCTGTGTAGAGAGTCTCTGGGTTAAGCTAAAAGGGGTAAAAAACGAGGGTGATATCATGCTAGGAGTCTACTACAGGCCACCTAGCCAGGTGGAAGAGGTGGATGAGGCCTTTTTTAAACAATTAACAAAACTATCCAAAGCCCAAGATTTGGTGGTGATGGGGGACTTCAACTATCCAGACATATGTTGGGAAACTAACACAGCGAGGCACAGGCTATCCAATAAGTTTCTGGACTGCATTGGAGACAACTTTCTGTTTCAGAAGGTTGAAAAAGCTACCAGAGGAGAAGCTGTTCTGGATTTGGTTTTAACAAATAGGGAGGAACTAGTTGAGAACTTGAAAGTGGAAGACAGTATAGGGGACAGTGATCACGAAATAATAGAGTTCATGATCTTAAGGAAAGGTAGAAGGGAGACCAGCACAATTGAGGTAATGGATTTCAGGAAGGCAGATTTTGATAAGCTCAGAGAACTTGTAGGTAAGGTCCCATGGGAAGCAAGACTGAAGGGAAAAACAACTGAGGAGAGTTGGAAGTATTTCAAAGGGACGTTGTTAAGGGCCCAAAAGCAAACAATTCCGCTGTGTAGGAAAGATAGAAAATATGGCAAAAGACCAGCTTGGCTTAACAAGGAGATCTTGCATGATCTCAAAATAAAAAAGGAGTCATATAAAAAATGGAAACTAGGACAACTAACAAAGGATGAATATAGGCAAGCAACACGGGAATGCAGGGGCAAGATTAGAAAGGCAAAGGCACAAAATGAGATCAAACTAGCTACAGGCATAAAGGGAAACAAGAAGACCTTTTATAAATACATTAAAAGCAAGAGGAAGACCAAGGACAGGGTAGGCCCACTGCTTAGCGAGGAGGGAGAAGCAGTAACAGGGAACTTGGAAATGGCGGAGATGCTCAATGACTTCTTTGTTTCGGTCTTCACCGAGAAGTCTGGAGGTGTGCCTAACGTAGTGAATACAAGCAGAGAGAGGGTAAGTTTAGAAGATAGGATACACAAAGAACAAGTTAAAAATCACTTAGGAAAGTTAGATGTCAGCAAGTCACCAGGTCCTGATGAAATGCATCCCAGGATACTCAAGGAGCTGATAGAGGAGGTATCTGAGCCTTTAGCTATGATCTTTGAAAAATCATGGCAGACAGGGGAGATTCCAGAAGACTGGAAAAGGGCAAATATTGTGCCCATCTATAAAAAGGGGAATAAGAACAACCCAGGAAACTACAGACCGGTCAGTTTAACGTCTGTCCCAGGGAAGATAATGGAGCAGGTAATTAAGGAAATCATATGCAAACACTTGGAAGGTAATAAAGTGATAGGGAATAGCCAGCATGGGTTTGTGAAGAACAAGTCATGCCAAACTAATCTGATAGCTTTCTTTGATAAGATAACGAGCCTTGTGGATAAGGGAGAAGCGGTGGATGTCATATACCTAGACTTTAGTAAGGCATTTGATACGGTCTCGCATGATATTCTTATTGATAAACTAGGCAAATATAACTTAGATAGGGCCACGATAAGGTGGGTGCATAATTGGCTGGATAACCGTAGTCAGAGAGTTGTTGTTAACGGTTCTAAATCCTGCTGGAAAGGGATAACAAGTGGAGTTCCTCAAGGGTCTGTTTTGGGACCCATACTGTTCAACATCTTCATCAATGATGTAGATATTGGGATAGAGAGTACGCTTATTAAGTTTGCAGATGATACCAAACTGGGTGGGGTTGCAACTTCTTTGGAGGATAGGGACATAATTCAAAATGACCTTAGCAAGTTAGAGAAATGGTCAGAGGTAAACAGGATGAGGTTTAATAAAGAGAAATGCAAAGTGCTCCACTTAGGAAGGAACAATCAGTTCCATACATACAAGATGGGAAGCGACTGTCTAGGAAGGAGCATGGCAGAAAGGGATCTAGGGGTCATAGTGGACCACAAGTTGAATATGAGTCAACAGTGTGATGCTGTTGCAAAAAAAGCAAATATGATTCTAGGTTGTATCAACAGGTGTGTTGTAAGCAAAACTCGTGAAGTCATTCTGCCGCTCTACTCTGCACTAGTTAGGCCTCAGCTGGAGTACTGTGTCCAGTTCTGGGCGCCACATTTCAAGAAAGATGTGGAGAAATTGGAAAGGGTACAGAGAAGAGCAACAAGAATGATTAAAGGTTTAGAGAACATGACCTATGAAGCCAGGCTTCATGAACTGGGCTTGTTTAGTTTGGAAAAAAGAAGATTAAGGGGGGACATGATAGCGGTTTTCAAATATCTAAAAGGGTGTCACAAGGAGGAAGGAGAAAATTTGTTCCTCTTGGTTTCTGAGGACAGGACAAGGAGTAATGGGCTTAAAGTGCAGCAGGGGAGGTTTAGATTGGACATTAGGAAAAAATTCCTAACTGTCAGGGTGGTCAAATATTGGAATAAATTGCCAAGGGAGGTGGTGGAATCTCCCTCTCTGGAGATATTTAAGAACAGGTTAGATAGACATCTGTCAGGGATGGTGTAGACAGAGCTTGATCCTGCCTTTTTTTAACAGAATCCAGGCTAAACTCATTGATATCCATGGAGAGGCCAATGTTTTATTTTTAGGTATTAGGTAGAGATCATTCAGTCATGGTTAAAAATGACAATGACCATGTTTTTGTTTTTCTAATAATTCTATATTTCTCATCACTACAGGAAGTAAGATATATCCAGTAGGATTCTTAATAAACAACACTCAAATCTATAGAAATCTGTTCTCTTAATACTCAAAGGGGTCCAAGAGTAATTTCTATTTCCATTGAAGGGCAATACATTGGTAAATCAACTTCACAGTGCTAGGTGAATAGTTAATTCAGAAAAAATCCGTATCAGCAGTTTAGATATCATAGTGCATTCCTCTCTTAGGCATAATCCTGTAAAGACAATGAGAGACTGGCATACATATGATTTAATAAAACTGAGATTCAAAGCGCATTAAAACCAAACCCTTATTAATGCCCTCAAAAGTAAACCCTTTGTAACTGACTGCATTTTCAGCTGATGCAAATCAGTATAGTTTTATTGACTTTAATGTAGTTGTGTTGATTTGTACTAGCTGAAAATCAGATGGTTATTGTCTGATGAGTCTGAATCAAATGTTACCATATTGAGAATTTGCTTCTAAGCGTGGAACCTACACTGGAAACCAGCAAATAAAACTAAAGAGTAACTATGGAATATTTCAAAAAAATAAAATAATATTACTTATTCTATAGGTGTTAATAGGTTTGAATACTTCATCTTCAAATATCAGGAAGTCAGCAAAGATGTCAAACAGCATCAGAGATTTATCCAAAGAAGTCCTGAGGTAAATAGTGTGTCCTGTACTTCTTAAACAGGTTATAAATACTATCTGTACTTACCCAATGGAAAACAATTACTTAAACTACTAAATCAGTGTGCCAATTTAAATGTAAAACATTTTTAAATGGCCTGATATGATTTTAAATAATTCTTACACAAGAGGCTTTTCTTAAACTAATACATGAATATTATGCTAACATTATTCCATGGATACTAAGTGTCTCAGACTAGAAAATTCAGAATCATTGCTTTCCTGTTGACAACAGTGTAGCGATTGTGCAGATACTCTGAAAATACAATAACTAAAATAGTTTGTTATAATATTTTTCAGATAGCCACTGAATAGCTGAAACAGTTGAATAACTGTACAATATTAGTACTGATGACAAGAGACAGCAGCGGCACTGAAAATAAATTCTGGAATTTTTCTGCTTGTCTACCAAGGCTGTTTTGTGTTTTGTTCTATGACAGTTTAACTGAAAGTGCTATGGTGTCGGCTGTAGCAACGTCGTCACTTAGTGTACCTCTTAGAGGGAAGTGAGATATTCAAAAATTTACTAACAGTGGCATGATCAACATGACACTGTAATGAAACTTCAGAGACTGATATTGATATAATATATCAGACCAGAAACAATCATTAGTGCTGAAGCTCTTACTGGTGTATATAATTTTTTCTAAACCTTCAAACATTTCAAATAGAATATAGCAAGGTGCTTTGTTCCTCTAAGGACTGCTAGTATAACAAGGCAATCTTTTGATTTAAGCCTTTACAAGTCTGGCTAGAATGGCTTGCAGAAGAAAGCACATTGGTTAAATAATTCAAAGTACTATAGTAGGAAATATGTGATTCCCATTCTCATAATGCTATTTCAAATGAACCCAGATAGAGCAGAGAGTGGATAGAAGTGCTGGATCATTTAAGATCTAATCTTGTGAAGTTCTGAGTGGAGGTGCTGAGCACCTCCAGATCTTCTCTCAGGAATGAGCGTTTACTTTCCAAATACAGAGTTTTATAGCATTGTTTTGTTCAGGAGTGTCATATTGTATTTTTTGGCTAATATGGGTTTAGGCACAAACCTTCTGGTAGGCAACTTTCAGAATATAGGCCTTTAAATACATTTATACTTTATACAGAAAAAAGCTATAGGAACAAATATTAAGGTTGCATAATTAAGAATTCAAAAGTTACGAAATGCCAGAAGTGTGGTTGCATGTGCACCATTAATTCAGCCCTTTATGCTTATGAATTTTGATATAGTCTTATTATGTGATCACACCCCATTTTCCCAGGACTGTTGCCCCATTCAGTAAATGGACAGTAAGTCACTACTTCGTTGTGTCCTCATCAATGAATGTGTGGCCCAAGGCCTTATTTACTGTTTAAAACCTTCTCTGAGGACAAATCATTCTTTCTCTCATTGGGTTTCCATGGCATTCACCATTATAGTATTTGAGGGCATCACAAAACATTATCTTCAAAACAAAATTTAAAGGTAAAGTGTTGATTTTACTGAACAAGAATTGAGGCACAGTGACTCAAATCTCCACTAATTTTTATACCAAATTTGAGACACGTAAGTTATGATTTTTCAGTGTACTTTGCATTATGTAGTACTTTTGATATTCAAAGAATGTAGTGTGAGGAGAAGTATTTTCCAGTGGGTAGGACATTTGCCTCAGATTTAAGAGACCCAGGTTCAATTCCTTACTGTCTTCCAGACTGCTTGTGTCACCGTAGACCTGAATGCACAACTTGAATTAGATGTTGTGATGTTGGACATTCCTGTGCCTGGCTTTTAGGTGCCTAGAAAATCACTGAGATTCACAAGCCTGAGTTAGGTTCTTAAACTCCTACACAATGAATACGGAGGGCAGGGAGACATCTATGCTAGCCAGAGGAAGATGCCAATGACAGTGCTGGATTCTAATCCCCGTCATCTTTCCGATACAAGCACCTAAGTATGAACTGGAGGAAGCATCTGTGCTTTAGTTACTTAGATGAAGACAATCTTTTGGCATTAGGCACCTATGCTACACAAGAATCTAGTGGGAAGGAGGACGACCTGTCATATTTTTAGCACAGTAGTTAGGCTACTTGAGATGTAGGACACCCACACACAGTCAATTCCCCATCCTCTTTCAAGTCTTGCTTCCACCTGAAGGGAAGAAGGGATTTGAACCGCGATCCACAACTCTCAAGTGAGTTCTCTAACTATTGGGCTATAGGATGCTCTGATGAGGAGGATCCCTCCTTCTCTCCTGTTGAAACTGTTGCACTCTGAATAAATAAGTAGAGTCACTGGCAGAAAGGGACAGTGTCCTGATTCTCTCACTTCCCAGGTGAGTCCCTTACTAGAATGGCTGCTGTTGTGGCGTTTGGGACAAGCTGCTTGGGGATGCCAGTGCAGCTTTCCTCAGAGGCAGTCCCAGGTGCGCAGGGCTGCCCACTGCCTGCGGAAGTCATAGAGGTCCTGACAGTTTTGGGATCAGTGACTTCTGTGCCATATTTGCAATCGCAGTTATAAAGAATGGTGATGTTCAGGAGCGGTTATTAAAGGATCTGTGCACAGTGGATTCCCAAACTCTATAGGGGCAGTCAGTGTTCTTCTCAATGCAGGAATGGAACTAGGGATGTTAAATATTGGTTAATTGAATAGTTGAGTAACCTCACAAATTCTTATCTGTTACTTGACTAGTCTGTAGTCCCTGGGGGTGGGCTCGACAGCTAGTGAGGAGCCAGCCTGCCGCTGAGGAGTCCCCTGTCACTCGCGCTGCTGCCTCTGTATCAGAGGCAGCAGCCCAGGAAGCCAGATGGGAGCTGATCCAAAAGGGGAGCCAGTTTAAAAACCAGCTCCTTTCACAGACTAGCTGCCTGTCACCCCACACTGAAGCCTCTGATACCAGAACTGAGCCAGGCTGCCAGCCTGTCTGGCTCCTAATACACTTTAAATGCAAAGCCACAGTGGGGGTAGGTCCCCGACCCAGCACGAGCCAAGACTGAGCCAGGCTGCTGGCTAGCCTACTAGAAAAAATTTACTGGCAAGGAGGTAGAAAATGCGTGTAGTCCATAGCATTAACTTATTTGCATATCGATTAATCAACTACACTATTACATCCCTTCAAGGGACTAGTGAGTGGTACCAGTGGAGAATGGCTATGCAACTATTCCTTATAATCCCCAAATAAAAATGTGAGCAATTTCTCAGGTTTAGATTTTGTTTTCTCCTCTGCAGACATGTTGAAAGTGCAGAGAAAAATGGATAGGCTTCTGAAATGATTGCCTTAAGCATTCACTGTTAGAATGTGTGTCATTGGGGAATTTGTATTCTTTGTAGCTTTTTATGAGAATGCAGTGTTGATTTCTACCTCATGTAAATTGTGAACACTAACCAAACTACTTTTCCTATCAGACTTTTGCACTTCACATAAAAATGTGTCTTCCTTGTTCCAATCTGTTGTAGAGTGGATAAGGTGGAGCAGAGACATGGCTTTGCCTTCTGCCAGCAGACATTTTGAGGTGGAGAACAGAGTTCGGGGATGGGGAAGCAAAACAGCTGAGAGCAGGATAGGAAAATAGGTAAATGTGCATGTGCTTTCCACAGTACGATCCTGAAAAAGTCAGGAATAGGAACTTTAGGGAGCAACTGGAGCAAGTGCCATTTTGGGAAGATGTATGGGGCAGGAGGTGAATAGCAGCATGACCAAGTTGGGAATGCAAGAGACAGGAACCTCAGAAATGCCTTTAACTCATAGGACAGAAGTTAGCATGGCAGTGTAGAGTAATAATCATGCAATAAAACTTAAATAGCAAATTGTTTTAAATTTACTGAGGTTCCTTCCATATTTGGTTGCCTGGGAATTAGGATTGGTTGCTACAGTGCATGATTCAGGCTCATCCTCCACCTGGCTGGCATCAGGGCTCCGAGTTCTGAACATCCTGAGAGATGTCTTGACGGTCTACCTGCTCATGTCTCAATGGGTCATCCTTGGTGGGGAAGGTTTCCAGCAGGCTCACAAGCTTCCTGGTTTGGTTGGCTATGTAGTTATGTAAATTCCAGTCCCACACCTCAAAAAAATAGTAGATTACATAGAATCATAGGACTGGAAGAGACCTCAGGAGATCATAGAGTCCAACCCCTTGCCCAAAGCAGGATTAACGCTAACTAAATCATCCTAATGAAATCCTCCCCCACCTCTTCCCTTATTTATTCTTGAATCTGGACTTCTAATACTCTGGTCATCTGAAGAAGTGGGTTGTGCCCCCAAAAGCTCATGATACCATCTACATGTTTTGCTAGTGTTTAAGGTGCTACTAGACTATTTGTTGTTTTTTAAGTTTTTCCTGTTACAGACTAACTTGGCTACCCTGCTAAGCTTTTAAATCATCCCATCCAGGGCTTTGCAAGCTGGGACTTAAAAATCTCTAGGGATAGTGATTCCACCACCTCCATAGGTAACTCATTCCAATGTTTCACCACTTTCCTCGTAAAGTAGGATATTTTTCCTAATATCCAACCTGGACCTCCCCCAGATAGGGAGGATATTTTCCCTGATCTCCCTCATTTTAATGTAAGTACACATGAGCTGTTTTCTCTTTGATGCTGTTCAGCATGCCGGCTGTGGCCCCTCATGGGCATCTTTCTAGCAATAAAGTTTTAATTGTGGTACAGGCTGAATCTACCAAGTCCGGGATACTATGGCCCAGCATAGGGATGTTACATTTAGGTTATTTTAGTAATCAAGTAGTCCATAAAATTTTTATTGACTATTCAATTGTTTGATGGGGGAAGGCAACCCCAACCAAACCCCACTGCAGCTCTGCAATTTAAAAGGCAGTAGGAGCTGGCAGTTAGTCTAGACATAGCCCAACTGAAAACAGGGCTAGTAGAAAGTGACAGGCAATACTAACTATTAGTAGCACCAGTAATACTTTCTCAGGCTTATGTAAAGCAGTGTGATACATACATACATACATTTGATTAATATAAATGATTGTTAATTGCTTTTGTATTTGATAAATGTTTTAGTCTGAATTAATAAAATTGCTATATGTTTTGATTTTTCAATCTATAATCTTGTGTACTCTGAATTACTAGGAGCCTTAATTTAGAAACTTGTTTCTCTAAATGGATCTCACTTGACTTTTAATGGCTCTTTTGACCCTTCAGCAATGGTGAGTTGTTAATTTTGTAGGTCAAACTGCAGTGGATGAGGTAGTGAATATTTTAAGTGTCAGTAGTAGAAGGAGTAAAGGAAACATTATAGGAATATTACAATTATTTTAGTCTTTAGACTTTATTAAAAAATGCACATGTTCATAAGTTTGAAAAATCAAGGTTACCATTGTTTTAAAGATAGACCAGGCATACCAAAATGTAAAGTAATTTAAATCAGACAGATATTATGGAAAACTGTTGTAGTTTTTCACTGCATCTCCAGTTAGTACTTATTTTATGGCTCTATAAGGTTCTTCTTTTAATCCTAAATTTAATTTAACCAATTTTTAAAATCTAGCTGCATTGCAGCTATACAGAACAGCTTAGACTCATCTGACTTCATCAGGCAGTTATCAAAAATACTCATCTTTGCTTGACTATTTTGTCTTCTGAAGATAGGATCATGACAGATATGAAATGTAGAATGGAACTGGAGTATACAATACATTTTCACAGAAACATTTTAGATATCAGAAAACAATCTCCCAAGGAAACACTGTATGACAGAAAGAATATAAATTGCATTGAACTTTTATTGCATTTTGTCATGGCTTTTTAGTTATTGGCTAGCAATCCACAGGACACTGATCAATTTATTTGTATTCATTTTTCAATTACGTGTTTATTCTTGTGTAACTTTATCTTCTAAAATATAAAAATATTAGGCTAAGTCTTATTTGTATCCCAGGCAGATCTTCCCTTAATCAGAGAAAGAGGAAAGCCAAAAGCCCCATTAAATCCACTTTGAATGATATGAGTATAATTAACTTTGGAAGTGTTCAGATTTAACAGAGATGGATGTTAGTATAAAGCCCTAATTCATATATATACCCTGCCGAACTT